CCTTCCGCCCAAAACAAGTATACGCCGGTGGAAAATGAAACCATATCTCTTCCTCACCACGTTGTATACTGTCGGGTAGATCGCTAGTCATGGTCTGAAGCCACAAATGGGTCAAACTAGCATCTCCACCCGGATGCTGTACTCTCAGCCATGGCCCGAAGCATGTTTCTTCAAACAATTTTCTTTGTGCAGGTGAAAGCTTCGAAGCAATTGTAGTGGCTAGGCTAACTTTATTCCTTAATGTCAATGAGCCGAAAAAAATTTCTACAAAAAAACAATAAACATACCAAGTTAGATATACAAAAATTACACTGTCAAGATATACCAAAAACAAAACAATAAACATAAATAGTAGTTTATTCTTGAAACTAAAATTTACAACACTGTTTTTGTCTTTTGGTTGAAATGAAAATCGCAACGAGATAATGAGAATCGCAATGCGGAAATGACTATCGCAACGAGAGAATCGCAACGCGAAATGACTATCGCGACCAGACAATCGCAACGCGAAATGAAAATCGCAACCGCGAAATAAAAATCGCAACGCGAAATGAAAATCGCAACTCGAAATGAAAATCGCAATGCGATTTTGGTTTCGCGTTGCGATTTTTATTTCGCGTTGCGATTTTTATTTCGCGGTTGCGATAGTTATTTCCGCGTTGCGATTTTCATTCTCGAAACTATTCTTCTTCTGCATTACTTCAACCAAAAGACAAAGCAAAGACAAATACTAACTTCACATGCTAAACAGTTTAGCAGTATTGCCAGCAATCGAATGAATTTAATAAGAAATCTAAGTGAAATGGTTAATCTATTATTGAAATTACCAGTAAACTTATCATCAATCTCAATATGAAAAACCTAAATAATGCAAAATTTCAAAAAAAAAAAAAAAAACTAAGGTTGATTTCATTTCTGAATGATTGTGAGGGATTTTTGACTGTGAATGGTTGTGAGGGATTTCGCCGGCGATGGAGACGGAAATCTTCGGAGATAGGGACGGATTTCGCCGTAGAGAGTGAGAGATGGAGATGGGACTGAGTGTTGTGTTTTTGGGTTTGAGGTTATGAGTTGCGATTACTGTGGACGGTTCAGTTTCCGATTTATTAAGAAAAAATTCGTGTTTGGAATTTGAAAAAAAAAATACGCGTTAATACTAATGGCTCTATGTAAATCGCGTTGTGAAAGTCAGTATCTCGTTGCGATTTTGTATTATCGCATTGCGATAGTAAGTATCGCATTGCGATAGTCAGTATCGCATTGCGATTTTCCCAATTCGCGTTGCGATTTACTTATTCGCATTGCGATTTACTTATTCGCATTGCGAATTGGGAAAATCGCAACGACATTGTATACCATCGCAACGCGATTTCCAACTATCGCAACGCGAAATGCAACGCGAATTTGCGATAATGGAGATCGCGTTGCGAATTAGCGATCGCATTGCGATTTTGTTGGTCATTTTGGAAAATGCAGAAAAAGTTGGTTAAAATCGTATATTATATGGGATTTTTGGTCACTGAGGTTATTTTCTCTTCTTTAAATCACATACACGTACTTTTTTAACTTTATACTAATATGGCTTAATATCAATTTAAGGGGATTGTCTCCATAAATGTGGACTAATATACGGTTAATATACGGCGTTATCGTATACATTAAAAGATATTTGATAAATTTGGTTTAGCATTACCGGAAATATCGAGTAATAATAATGTAATAGGTGGAAATCATGAAGAAATATTAAAAAATTTGGCAACCGACAAACTTAGCTTGTCGGTTTGTGTCGATACTTTATCAAAATGTATTAATCCATAACAATATAAGAGGTAAAAAAATGATAAAACCGGTCTAAAAATGACAAAACAGGTAAAGTGCTACCAGATATATTGAAAGTGTCGATACTTTATAAAAATGTATCGATCCATAACAATATAACATGTAAAAAAAATGACAAAATCAATCTATAAATGAAAAAACAGGTAAAGCGCTACCGGATATGTTGATAGTGTCGATACTTTATAAAAATGTATCGATCCATAATAGTATAACAGGTAAAAAAATGACAAAACCGGTTTATAAATGACAAAACAGGTAAAGCGCTACCGGATATATTGAAAGTGTCGATACTTTATAAAAATGTATCGATCAATAATAACATAACAGGTAAAAAAATGACAAAACCGGTCTATAAATGACAAAACAGGTAAAACACTACCGGATATATTGAAAGTGTCGATACTTTATAAAAATGTATCTATCCATAACAATATAACATGTAAAAAAATGACAAAACCAGTCTATAAATGACAAAACAGGTAAAGCGTTACCGGATATGTTGATAGTGGCGATACTTTATAAAAATGTATCGATCCATAATAATATAAGAGGTAAAAAAAATGACAAAACCGGTTTATAAATGACAAAACAGGTAAAGCACTACCGGATATATTGAAAGTGTCGATACTTTATAAAAATGTATCGATCAATAATAACATAACAAGTAAAAAAAATGATAAAACCGGTCTATAAATGACAAAACAAGTAAAGCGCTACTGGATATATCGAAAGTGTCGATACTTTATAAAAATGTATCGATCCATAACAATATAACAGGTAAAAAAATGACAAAACCGGTCTATAAATGACAAAACAGGTAAAGCGCTACTGATATATTGATAGTGTCGATACTTTATAAAAATGTATCGATCCATAATAATATAACAGGTAAAAAATGACAAAACCGGTCTATAAATGACAAAACAGGTAAAGCGCTACCGGATATATTGAAAGTGTCGATACTTTATAAAAATGTATCAATCCATAACAATATAACAGGTAAAAAATGACAAAACCGGTCTATAAATGACAAAACATGTAAAACGCTACCGGATATATTGAAAATGTAGATACTTTATAAAAATGTATTGATCCATAACAATATAACAGGTAAAAAAATGACAAAATCGGTCTATAAATGACAAAACAGGTAAAGCTCTACCGGATATGTTGATAATGTCGATATTTTATTATAAGTATCGACACTTTTAGAATTTAAAAGAGAAGAAATTATAGCGCTAATAAAGTGTCGATACTTTATAAAAATGTATCGATCCATAACAATATAATAGGTAAAAATATGACAAAACCGGTCTCGAAATGACAAAACGGGTAAAGAACTACCGGATATGTTGAAAGTGTCGATACTTTATTATAAGTATCGACACTTTTGGAATTTAAAAGAAAAGAAGTTATAGTGTCAATAAAGTGTCGATACTTTATAAAAATATATCGATCCATAACAATATAATATGTAAAAATATGACAAAATCGATCTCGAAATGACAAAACCGGTAGTAAAAAAGTGTGCTTGTGTGGCCATTTTTATTTCATAATTTTCATTTTTAATACAAAAAGTTAGATATTTTAAGAAAAACTCAGTAAAAAAATAACAAAAACTTTGTAGTAACAAAATAATAACATTGGGAAACTCACTATGTTATCAGTTTCTCAAAGAACAAAAATCTAGAAAAGGTAAATTTACAATGTAACCAGTAAAAATATATTGGTTAATTAGCAAATAGGTTTACATTATGTATCGACACTCTTTAAATGTGTCGATATTTTTTTCCCAAAATGAAAGCACAACGAGGTGCACGCATAAAGTGTCGATACATTTAAAATTGTATCAATCCCCAAAACATCAAAACCGATAATTATAATGTAATAGGTAAATTTACAATGTTACCGGTTTAAGTATACATGTTTAGTTAGAAAATATGTCAATATAAGCGCTACATATTGCATTATATAAGCGCTACCTAATATATTATTATACTTGATAATATTTCCGGTTAAATGATATAATATAACCGGTCTAAATTTTAATCGGTCACGCCGTTTTTAGCCGTTTTTAGCCGTTTTTTAGGCGCCGCACAGCAGAAGTTCCCCAAAATAAGTGTTTAAACTATACATTTTTTTCGAATAGGTGCCTAAACTATTTTTTGGCTCATCAAAGTGCCTAATGTGTAACGTTACCACTTCATGTGTCAATGTCGTCAACGATGTTAATTTTCCCGTTTAAGTGACACATATCACAATCTGATAATTTTAAAATTTTATTTAAAATAAAAAATTAAAATTATATTTTTTTAAAAGAAAATACAAAAGTTTTGAAATAATCCCAAAACTTTAAAACCTTCATTTCAACTCCTACACTCGCGCCGCCCACCGACCTTTGTCGTCGACGAAGCTCCACATGACCTCCCCTCCCTGATGACCAAAACCCTTATGAAATTGTGACTGATCAACGATCGATCAACAAAAAATTGGTGTTTTAACCCCCATTAACCCTATAATGAAAACCACGATGCTGTACGACTTCGACGAATAAACGATAACTACGACTGCGTATAATTAGGAGGATGACAGGGACTACGTCGATAGTGGTGGTCGTGGCCGAAAAGGGTAACGACGACGGGTTAAGATTAGGATGTGGGGATTTTAAGGATTTTGAGGCTTTTTATAATTTAAGAGAAATCATGTTTTTTTATAAATATAATAATATTTTTATTTAAAAGATAAATAAATATAAAAACCACCCTATTGTGACACATGTCACTTAACGGAGAAAATTAACGTCATTGACGAACGAGAACCTAAAATGATAACGTTTGTAACGTTATGCACCTGAATATGTCCAAAAAATAATTTAGGCATCTATCTAATAAAAGTGGTATAGTTTGAACACTTATTTTAATATTAAGCCTATTTATATATATAAAATATGAATTTGGGTTTTTTTTTACAAAAGGAAATTTGAAAATACTAGTACAAAACTATTGACACACTACTTTTTTATCTGTCATGTTCAAAACGTGATATTACAACGTGGAGGGAAGGAAAATCAAATGTATAAATACTAGTCTAATATCACGCATACCTGGAACCGAAAGATAAGCAAGGAAGAGAAAACCAAGAAAGAAGAAAATCAAGATCTTCTTCTTCCCCATTTTGAAGATGTCATCAATGGAAGATTCGAAAGCGAAGGCGCGTTTGGCTGTGCTTGCTGCCCACTTGGCGGCTCCTGATTGGTCCTCCAACAACCCGAATTCCTCCGTCCTTGAGCCGTGGTGCGTGTCAGCTCAGGCCGCCCCTTCCTCCGTTGGCGGTTTGTTGACCGTCGTTGACGAGCGAACCGGGAAGAAGTACCAGGTCCCTGTCTCCCACGAAGGCACCGTCCGAGCTACCGATTTTAAAAAGGTTCTTCTAAACAATTTGTTCGCGGTTTTGTTTTAATTTATGCATGCTGATTCTGAATTTAGGGGATGTAATTTTGACTTTGGGTTTGAATTTGGTTGCAGATAACGACAGGGAAAGATCACAAGGGGCTGAAAATTTATGATCCGAGTTATTTTTTTTTTATAAAATAGGGCCTCATTAAAACCCCCTTCTTATCCTCCATGTTACAAACATAACATGAAGGACATTGGAAGGAGGGAAAGGGTGCCACTAACTTTTATTAATAGGAACAATAATACACCTCCACACCTCAACAACAACAACTTCTTACAAAACAGAACAACCATGATTCTGAAAGCATAAAACAACCTAATACACTTTAAATAGTAACAACCGAGACATAACACCTAATAATTACACAACTAAAATCAGCCTATGCCAGCTTTAGCTAATTTATCCGTTTCCCAATTAGCTGCTCTCGAGATGTGCCTTGTGATAATACCCTTCCTCTCCACAGTAGAAGCTATATCCTTTACCAAGGATTGTAACAAAGTAGAACTAAGGTTCGGATTATTAATCCACTTCAGAGCATTAGAAGAGTCCGATTCCAAAATGATCCTCTGATTTGGAAAGAAATCAGCTTCAACTTCCTCAATAAGAATCAACACTCTATTAATAGCCAAAAGCTCAGCGAGTAAAGGAGGACCTCCCCCAACCTTCTCTGAAAATGACCCAAGCACCAACCCGCTGCCATCCCTAATCAAGCCACCTATTCCACCCTTATCCCAATCTTTAACCATTGCACCATCAACATTTACTTTTAAAAACCCTTCCGGATGAGGACTTCACCTGGAAGAAGGAAGATTCTTCTTATGCGAGTTGTCAAGTTGATCTGCTAGTTTTAAATCCCCCATCAAATAATCGAAATGAAAGTGAACATCCTTAACTGATGTTTCAAACCAAGAAACAGTTCTGAAACGTGTAATGAAGAACAACAACGCTGGATCAACCTTCCCATTCTGAAAAATCACCTCATTCCTACATTTCCAAACAGACCACAACATGCTCTTGGAATAACTTCCATATGTGAGATCGTGGCACTAGATCATCCCATGCCATAAAGAAATCCATCAACGAACCAGGAACCACAAAGAAAACATTCCATAACTTTAAAAACTTAGCCCACAAAACCCATACCACTTCACAGTGAAGAAACAAATGAGCTATCGTCTCATTGTACTTCCTGCACATAGGGCAGACAGAGTCTTCAATCCCAGTAACTTCTCTCTTCAGCAGTTCCTCTTTCACCGCAACTCTATGATGAGCAAGTTGCCAAACGAAAGATTCCACACGTGGTGGAGCTACTCCTTTCCAAACATATCTTTCCCAATTGCTTTCTAATTCAACATTACCCTCTCTATCAAAATAAGCTTTCACGTATAATTTTGCTGTAAAACAGCCCTTTCCATTTCCCAACCAAATCCAACAATCTTCCTCTACTAGGGACAAAGAAGAGTTGTTCAACAGAGAGATAATTTGCAGCCACTGCTCAACCTCTCAATCTACCAAATTCCTTCTCGTTTGAATATCCCAAACCCAACCCGCATCATAATGCAATCTGAATTCTGCAACCTTACCATCTTTGTTATTCGAGAGAGCAAATAACCTTGGAAACCTATCTTTAAGAGGAACCGAACCCAACCAAACATCATGCCTAAACTTAACTGTTTCTCCATTTCCTGCTCTAACACACAAATTTCTCCTAAAACAGTCCCCAAATGCATCACATAAAAAGAAATTCTTAACAACTCCTCTCCAAATCCAAGAAGTACGAGCTGTCCAAGAATTCCGGATCATCAAAGAATTAGGATCCATATTGTAAACACAACACACAACAGATTTCTACCAAGAATTTTTCTCTGCAGCAAATTTCCACACCCATTTCCCCAAAAGGGCCCTGTTTAATAACAACAGATTCGGGATCCCTAAACCCCCCAACTTCTTTAGCTTACACACCAAATCCCACTTGATCCAATGAATGTTCTTTTTCTCTGATGCTCCCCCCCAATAAAAACGATGCCATGATAAAGTTTAATTTGTGAAGAACGCTAATAGGGATCCGAAAAATAGAAAGGTAGTATATAGGAAGAGATCACAACACGGATTTGACCAAGACAGCCCTTCCAGCCAGAGATAAAGACTTGGCCTTCCAACCAGCCAAACTCTTATAAAATTTTTGTACAACCGGTTCCCATATGGAAAAAGAATTCCTCTTGGCCCCCAATGAAAGACCTAAGTACTCCGATGGAAAAACTCCCTTTACACACCCTATTTCCTTTGCCCATAAAACTAACTCCTCCTCTCCCACGTTAATTCCAAAAATTCTGCTCTTGGACAAATTCAACTTCAAACCCACCAGCAGTTCATAAATTAGAAGCACCCTCCTAATATTCACCAAATCATGACTAGAAGCCTTACTAATTATTAAGTCATCCGCGAATTGCAAATGGGATAACATGAAAGAACGATTATTAGAGCCTAATTCAAAACCGAAAAAAGCCCCTTGTTCACTACTTTCACCAATATTAAATGTAGCAATTCCCCTCCTAAATTGAACAACAAAGGGGATAACGAGCAGCCCTGCCTTAGACCTCTAGTAATGTTGATTTTCTCCGTAGGAGTGCCATTTACCAAGACTGAAATGGAAGTTGTTGAAACACATTTATACATCCAAGAACTCCATCTAGCTCCAAACCCATTTTACTCATATTTTCAACAAGATCTTCCAATCAACTGAATCAAAAGCTCTTTTGAAGTCCACCTTAAAGACAACTCTCTTCAATCCTTTTTTCCTCCAACAATCGATGCCTTCATTTGTTATAAATGTACAATCTAAAATGTGTCTCCCTGGAATAAATGTGAATTGTGATGGACTAATAACATCATTAATACACAAGCTTAACCTTCTAGCTAGAACTTTTAAAAGAATTTTGTAGAAACCCCAAAAGATAATGCCTAAAGTCTTCAAGCCCTCCGGATTGTCCCTCTTTGGAATAAGAGAGAGGAAAGAGTAGTTGATTTCCATGTCCCATTCATTTCCCTCATAAAATTCCTTAAAAAACAGCAGCAAAACTTCCTTCAGACTTGGCCAAAACTTCTTAAAAAGCCTAAATTCAATCCATCAGGGCCAGGTGCTTTGTTACTATCTGAATTAGCGATTACACCCCAAATTTCCTCTTCAGAGAAAGGCTTCTCGAGGGCCATACTCTGCTGATTCGAGAGCTTTAAAAAATCCGTCCAGTCCTCAACTTCCATGTATTTTCCTGGTTTAACAACCCCTTGAAAAGTGCACCACCGAATCTTTAATTAGTTTGGATCTGAAATGTCTTCATTATCAACTTTGATGGATTTGATATTATTCTCCTTCCTCACCTCTTGCACTGGTGGTTCTTATTCCCATTCAAATTCCACTTCAATCTTGACTTTTGAAACCAAATCAGTTCATCTTTTTTATACAAGTCCCACAGCTCTTTCTTTGCTTCCACTAGGTTCTTCATAGACACCATGGAGAGACCTTATTGCAAATTAAGTTCCATCACCTGAATTTCTTTCTCCAACCTATTTATTTTCCCAGTGATCTCAAGATAGCCCTTCCCATACCATTTCTTCACTGCTCCCTGCACTCCTTTTAGCACACTAGAGATTGGTTGCCTATTCTCCACATCACAGAGCTTGTCAAGTTCTCCCTCCATCATCTTACAAACCCATCCTCTTCCAAGAAATTAAGTTCATCACCTGATTTCTTTCTCCAACCTATTATTTCCCAGTGATCTCAAGATAGCCTTCCCATACCATTTCTTCACTGCTCCCTGCCTCCTTTTAGCACACTAGAGATTGGTTGCCTATTCTCCACATCACAGAGCTTGTCAAGTTCTCCCTCCATCATCTTACAAACCCATCCTTCCAAGATATAATTAAACAATTTGAACGGTTTAGGGCCCCAATTCCAGCCCCTATTTTCAGCAGTGTTATGGTCAGAAACAGACCTTTCTAGGAGTCTTTGAGTGATCATAGGGACAAAGATAAAAATCTTTGATCCACTAGGAATCGATCTAGCCTCTCATAAGTTGGGATATCTCTATTGTTGCACCATGTAAATCTGCCTCCAACCATAGGCAAATCCAGAAGATTAGCTTTGCTCACAAAATCTTTGAAAACAAACATTGTAGCTAAGTTAACTGCACCTCCTATCTTCTCTTCTGTGACATTACCACATTGAAGTCTCCTCCGAGACACATTTGACAGTCTATATTCTCTAGGAATGATAACAACTCCCCAAAAAACGCCTCATTTTCTGAATCAACACTTGGACCATACACATTTATGAACCAACATGCTCCTTGTGCCTCATCAATAATACCCTTAACTGCTACATATCTTCTATGAATGACCTCCTCTATAACCTTACACTCTACCTCATTCACAAAGTAACTCAGATCCAGCAGAACCTTCAGCTTCTGAAATTACCGAAGCTGGCAACAATTACCTCCCATTCTCACTACCGACGGGTCACACTTCCTTTTTCGATTCCTGAATGAAAAAATTAAAGGCTTTCTCTCCTCAACAACCCTCCTAACAGCTCTAGCCTTATCCTCCTACAACTCTCTAAACCAAGTCAGTAAATTCCAACTAATCATCTATATCCTATCATAACCTTGGAAACCATCACCCCTTAATTTCCCCCATGTACTCCTCTCTCCTTAATCAATGGAATTGCTCTGTTAATAAAAGCTTTTTTTCCCCCTCTAAATGTGACCCCTAACAATTTACTAACATTCCAGCTCTCCAATGCCTCTGCCTCCTCCTCGTTACTATATACATAATCCGAACTTGTACCTAAACAACTCCTTGTTCCCCTCGACCTAGATCTTGAATAAACATGTTTGTATTTGCCCCTTCTCAATCTACTCCCAGAAACAGTCCTCGAATTTCTTTTGGAGGTCAGGGAAACAGATCCCACTTGCACAAGAGATTGACATTGCACAGCATTATTTTCTGTTATTTCGAAACAGCCACCCTTGCTTAATCTCTCCTCCTCTTGCTCCAGCCCACTCCTGAAATTTAAAACCGGGCACCTAATAAGCCAATTTTCGCAATCAACTATATCATGCTCTCTAAGGACACCTCCCAAACTTTTCTCATTTTCTCTCCCTTCATTAACTTCTTCTGACTTTTCCCGCTGTGTAGAGACATCACCTACTTCTGTCACTTCTTTGCACAAGTCAAATGTATTTTCCCTACCTATGTTTAAATTCAAACCTCCCTCGGTAGTTGTGTTTTTGCCTTGTTGAGAACTTCTAATTCCATACTCAATCCTATTTTGGGATATTGACCACTCCTGTACTCCCTCCTACTCTTCTTGCCGATTCTGCATGTCTTCATTGCTCCACTCCGAAGAGCTTTCCTCCCATGGATTCTCTGCAGCTTCTTCTACCTCCATATCTGTTAATTATGGGAAAAAATCCTCAGCACCATCAACTTTAATTTTAATCATGAATTTTCTCTCATACGTAGTGATGATGGTTTGTTCTGGAATGTCAAAAGGACTCTCAACCCTTAGTAGCAGCTGCGCCACTCTGCAATCCACTCTATGCGCAGTTTGATCTTGGAATTTTACAACTTTACCCCATCTAGATGCTAAGCTCGTAAAGAACGGGACCGACCAACAATTTAATGGGACACCAATTATTCAAATCGCACAATAAGCTAATGGGATACCCCCCTCCTCTACCACCGGCTCCAATATATCAAACCAGAACGTTAAAGGTTCCCATTTTTCTTCCATTGCAATTCTTCTCTCATCAACCAACTGAAACACCACCAGACACGCATTCTTCGCACATCCCCACCTTATCACCTTAACTTTGAAGCCCTCATTTCGTAAGGCTCTCTGCACAAATTCTACTTCAAAAATATCTTTGTAAATGTCAGTAAGTGAAGATTTCAACCATAATCTCTCTTCCATCGGAATAAAGACATCCAAAGATTTCTTCTCTTCCTTTGTATTCCTTTGACTGTTTACTTGATGACCTTCTGGAACTTTTTTCACCCCAACCACAATGTCTCTATAAGTTCTTCCATCTTTGAACTTGTTCATTCGTTCCATTTTCTCATTCACTTATGCTGAAGAAGCCATTCGTCTGCCCTTCCACTCTTCTTTTTCTACCCTTTTGAAGCCCTCCTCAGTATTCCCTTCACGATTCTTCATCCCAACTAACTTGTCATATTTAGCTACTGAAACAGAAATTATCTTCCCATCGATCCTGACATTGTTCATCTTCTCCACCGCATTGCACAGATCCTTCTGCTAGCAAAATGGACAAATGCAAAGTACAATCCTTGTATTTTGGTCTGTTGTTAATAAAAGGAATAAACACCCTAATAACTTTTCCATGATAACTAAAATGTTCCCCTAATGTTCTTCTGTTCACTCTTCTACTAAGGTGATCAACGAACGCAGACCAAGTACCCCCTCCATGAACCTCTCCATCTTTGCCATCAGAATATCTGCTCTCTCGCTCTCTCCCACTTGTTCATTGTTATCGCTTAACCAAAAAGATATTACCTGAACAAAATAAGTGTGTCCACTACAAAATATACTTTCTGGCAGAATTTCCATTGAAGGGATCCTTAGATATAGAGGGTATCCAATTGAAGAATTGGCTGAGAGTTCCAGTTTCTTGGAAGTGGCTTACCTCTTGAGTATGCTTTTTAAAATTACAACCACCTCTTTTCTTTATCCAAACTGTGATTGCTTGTGGGATTTGGTTAATTATTCGTGGAATATACTTCAAACTGAAAAATCAATTGAAATCTCTTATGGGTTAAAGGAATCAACTATTGAGGCTCTTTTTAAATCAATGCATGCGATGATTGTATGTAAATCATGTGACATAGCGTATCTTGAAGATCAATTGAGGGTTGTGAAGAGAGAACAGTGAGAAAAAGAAGAAACTTAAATGAATGGTAGGTAAGGTATTGACAAGAATGTTATGGCGTTGCTAAAGGGGGTTGGCTATTTCAATGTAGATGGCCACCTGTTATTGTTAAGCTGGAACTTATGCTAGTTTGTTGATCTGTATCTATGGCAAGAGCAAGATTCTCCCTAATCACTAATCTGACAAATTACACTGGATCGATGAAGGTTTATAGTAGTTTGTCTTTGATTTAAACCATGCATTTACTTAAATATTTGGTTGTGTTTAAACAATTTGCTTCCACTTTTTCAGTGTATGGGAATTTGCCTTCTGAAGGTCAGCTAGCAGACTGGGAATTTGCTGTTACCCAGCATTCAGCTGTGCCGCAAGGGATTCTGGTATGCTTTCTTTCTTCTAGAAGATAAACCTGTATAGTCCTTGGATGTTGCAATGTACATGATGTTTATAACAAATATGATCCGTTGCTTTTTTTTAATTTCTTTGGTTTAAGAGCCACAATTCTGATTCCTTTTAAGCATTACTATTAGTCGGGTCTACTACTACTAGTTTAACAGAAGTTATTCAACTTGTCTCATGTTTTTCCTATTTTTGTAGGACATTATACAATCAATGCCTCATGATGCTCATCCAATGGGTGTCCTTGTCAGTGCAATGAGCGCCCTTTCTGTTTTTCACCCTGATGCCAATCCTGCTCTCAGAGTAAGTTGATGGCTTAATTTTGAAGAAATGACTTTTGAAGATTCATTTGAGTTGATATTGTGTTGCTCTGGTATTTTGTTCAGTCATGATATGGGTCTATTAAAGTGCCTAGGTAGCAAACAACTGATAAAAGTTGTTGTTAGTGTTGTTTTTTTGGAAGGAAAAAATAGGGTAAGTGGGCCTAGTCGTTTCGGAATCGAAAGGATTCTAAGATTAAATTGTTTCAAGATATTGGATGTTACATTTCCTTTTTTGTTTCCTGTCTCGAGAGACTGTTTTCCAAATGTTAAGCATGTATGTAGTCTATGAGGTAACAACATTTTTGCAACTTATGACTTTTAACCTGTTCCGTACGATATAAAAACATGCTCTGGCAGAATTTATTTATTGGAGTCAAATGTAACTTTACCTTTTTCCACACCAACAGCATAAAATAAGAAGATTGACGTACACTGTTATTATAGAACAAAAATAGAAGATTTTTAGTATTTTTTTCATCTGTTTTGCGTCTTCTCTTCTGTTTACTGTCATTTATATCTACTATTAATGCAGGGCCAAGATCTTTATAAGTCAAAACAAGTGAGAGACAAGCAAATAGCTCGCATTCTTGGAAAGGCATGTGCTTTTAATTCCTTTTCCCTGTGTTTTTTGTTCAATAAAGTAGCTGCTTCTATTCACTAGGTCATATCTTTAACTCTGGTGTGTGAACTCGTTACTTTTATTTTGTTTTGTGGATTTGGGTTTACCACTTCTTTTGTTATGTTGAAGATGGTACAAAACTTTATTCTTGTTTCAGGCACCAACCATTGCTGCGGCAGCTTATCTGAGGATGGCAGGAAGACCTCCAGTTCTTCCTTCCAACAACCTATCTTATTCCGAGAATTTTCTCTATATGCTAGATTCAATGTATGTTCTTTGGCACCTTTGATACTCTTTTTAATGGCTTTGTTTTGGTATAAAGTTTTATCTTCTGGCTTCTATCTATCTTTTTCTTAATGCTACTTTAACCTCGTAATCGCCATCTAGGATGCTAATTCTAGACCTACCTTTTCCTATCTGAGGTGTCCATTTTAATAACTTTCAGGGGCAACCGGTCTTACAAGCCCAACCCTCGGTTAGCTATAGTGCTGGACATTCTTTTCGTACTACATGCAGAACACGAAATGAACTGTTCCACAGCTGCTGCTCGGCATCTTGCATCAGGGTAGGTCTATTAATGTTATTGTACTATTGTGCTAGAACAACAAGTCAATGTATTAATTATCAGTGTGTATCTGCATCTGTAGTGGAGTTGATGTATACACTGCTCTAGCTGGAGCTGTTGGAGCATTATATGGCCCTCTTCATGGTGGAGCAAACGAGGTATGCAGAACCAAAGCTTTTTCCGTCTCATTTTAGCTCAATGCTTATCGGTAATGATCTGGAATTCAAGTTCCAAAGGGATGGTGTTACAATATGATTGTTTAGACTATATAGTTGCACTTGACATGTTATATTAACTCTCAGTTTGTTTATATCATTTTTCTTTTTATCATAAGCTGTTTGTGCCAGTCGTACCTGAGATTCTTTTCTCTCATCTTTTTAACTTCTATTTGTTTTTGGTTGTTATAGGCTGGCTCAAGATGCTTAGCGAGATTGGATCAGTAGAGAACATTCCAGTGTTCATTGAAGGTGTCAAGAACAGGTGAATGTTGCATATAAATTTTGCTGTTATTTTCAAGTGGCATTTAGCTAAAGGTTCCACTTGCAGTGGTATATTTTCTTTCAAATGTTTTATTAACTTTTGCACATATATATTTATTTCTTTAGGAAGCGGAAAATGTCTGGTTTTGGGCACCGTGTATACAAAAACTATGATCCAAGGGCAAAGGTGATAAAGAAATTGGCGGAGGAAGTTTTTTCTATTGTCGGCCGGGATCCTCTTATTGAGGTATTATCGATGACCCTCCAAGTTATCGTCTTTTACATAAACATCTACCCCAAAGCCTAATCTGTTTTTGGTTTAATGTAAACGTTTTAATAGTCATTTCTTTTTCGTACCTTTAATTTATTTTCTTTTTGCAGGTAGCTATTAGTTTGGAGAAGGCTGCATTATCTGATGAGTATTTTATTAAGAGGAAGCTTTATCCCAATGTTGATTTCTATTCCGGGTTGATATACCGGTACATAAGATTAATTCCTCTGCTCACTTTGAAAAACTAGAGAAATGTATAAGATAAGTTTTGGTTTTTCCTCCTCCAAGTGTTAAGACTGGTTACAACTGAGTTTTTATTCAACAGGGCTATGGGGTTTCCACCGGAGTTCTTCACCGTATTATTTGCAATCCCTCGAATGGCTGGGTACTTGGCACACTGGCGCGAGTCTTTAGATGATCCTGATACAAAGATAATAAGACCCCAACAGGTCAGTCCATACTTTTGAGACTCAAAAGCTAAATTATTATAGTTATGCCTGATGACCATTATAGTTAGAAAGGAATATAATACGAGAGTATTTGATACACTTTACACTGTGGCTGTGTAAACTCAAGAGCATGCTTATGACCCTAAACTCTAAACGACTAAACCCTAAATAAGACATGAAATCAATACAACTCCGTTTATGGAGTATTTTTCACCATCAGTGTATTGGATGATAATCCGTATACTATTGCATGTTATTTTCTTCTAGTGTATTGTGATTCTGTATTTTTTATTGCGAAAATGCCTACATTTTTTACTCAAGAGTGAAAGTAATTACAAAGTTTGCACTTCTAAAGTTATCAGGCTGTCATTTTTGGATCTCTCATTTTCCGTTTAAATTTTCAGGTCTATACCGGAGTGTGGCTATGGCATTACATGCCACTAAAGGAACGAATGTCTTCAACCGAAGCTGACAAGCTTGCTCAGGTATCCATATCGAACGCCTCGAGACGACGACTCGCCGGATCCGGGGTTTAGGCTCCATTGTTGTTATATCATAATGCAAGCAAAATAAACGGGGTTAGTATCTCCATGCAAATAAAGTTACCCTGGTGGAGCTCGTATTTTGTTGAACCTGTTACTGGTAGGGGTGGATGTCTTATAGTTAGAGGTAATATTTACTTGATTTGTGAGCTTCGAAATGGATTTACTTGTCATAATGTAGTGTATTAGAAAATTTGTGGATCTGGTTTATATTTCATTATTCGATTCAAATTCATGGCTAGAAGATTTCTCTAAGTGCCCATGGCACCAGGCATACATCTCATTGTCTAATCATGAACCTTAGATACTCACTTTTTAAGTTCCAGTGTCCCTCATGGATTGTAGCTGCCCCTTTTTGAGTGGGATTTTGCTCGGTGGGTAATGCATTACTTGATATGGTGAGATGAGTATAGACTAGATAAGAAACTTGTTCGGCATATCATTCTTCTTCTTCTTCTTTAGACTTTTATGGGGTTTGGTTTGGAACTATTTTTGTGCAATTATAATCTAGTTACTCGTACAAACTAGCTCTTACATTTGTATTTTAGACATGGTTAAGATAGAAAATGATGTGCAGAATATGAAGATGTGCAAACGAAAAGACAGAATGTGATTTATAAGTTTTGAGGCAGCAATCAAGTCTTCCATTTTAGAGTCTAAATCTGGCAACAATCAATGTAAGATTGGATCCATTTTGATAAAGGCGAAGTTGGCAGCAAAACAGTGGGCAAAGCTGCAGAGTTTTGATTTTCCAGTCTAGGGGGAATGATGCCGAGCTAGCAAAGGAACTTCAAATTCTCCGAGTGGGCCTGTGGGAAGAGTATAGGAAGGTGGAACGATTCTGGCACCAAAAGTCCAGGATCAAATGGATTTCGGAAGGCGACCGGAATACCAGCTTCTTTCACATGTTTGAGTCAACAAGAAGAAACTGTAACCTGATTAGTTCACTAATGGTGAATGGTGCTGTTTTAGATGACCCGGATAGTTTCAAACTAGCTGTTCAATCCCATTTCAAAGAGGCATTTAATGTCAAGTCAACCTTGGCTGTTCATCAGTTGAGACTGCCGTTCAAGAAATTACAATTGGAGGAAGCCAGTATGTTGGAGTTTAAGTTTACAGAACAGGAAAATTTTCAAGCCTTAAGAAATTCGGATGGTAATCGAGCCCCAGGGCCGAATGGTTTCAATTTCAACTTCCTCAAGAAGTTCTGGCCGGATTTTAAGAGCTATATTCTGGCGTTTTTTTGAAGATTTTTATGATAATGGAAAACTGGCATAAGTATCAACCACTCTTATATATCCCTAATCCCAAAGAAATCCAACCCGTCGACAATCAGCCTGGTCAGAGGTATGTACAAGCCGCTAAGCAAGGTGTTGGCTAATCGACTTCGAATCGTGTTGGGCTCGTTAATTAGCAGCTCTCAGTTCGCGCTCATTCCCGGATGTCAAATCTTAGATTGCTCATCGGGGTTATGAAGGAGATGGGATTTGGAAGCCGGTGGTGAAACTGGATATTTAACCGTATATCGTCGGCCTCAATTTCGGTACTAGTTAATGGCTCTCCATCTAGCAGATTCCATTTGGCAAGGGGCTTAAGACAGGGGTGCCCGCTTTCGCCTCTGTTGTTTAATCTAGTTGGTGAAGCTCTGAATTTGATGTTGGAAAAGGCGACGAGAGTGGGTCTGTTCTCGTGCTTTATGGTGGGTTACTGTTGACGAAAACGGGTAAAGAAAACAAAAGAACACGAGAATTTTACGAGGTTCGGCAATGTGCTTACGTCCTCGGTGCCTAGGCGGCGCTAGAAGTTTTTATTCAATGATTTTAGGTCTAGGTTACACTCTATTTATAATAGAAAACCCTGGTACATAATTACAAAATCAACCCTGTACCGTACCGCGGGGGCTACGCCCCCACCCCAACCCACATAATTTGTAACCCATAACGAGACTTTCTTTGTAAGGACAGTTGATGTTCGCTTCGCTCACTCCGCTCCATCTCCTGTCCTCTTTACTGGTATATTTATGAGCCATACCTAACAAATCTCCACCTTGGCGAATATCCTGCCCCTTGGAAACTTCAATGTGGGTTGGGTTACCTTGCTTCTTTAACAAACTCGAAACATTCAACAAGTCCAAGCAATACTTGAACTTGTCTGTCGTAACTGGCTTGGTGAACATATCAGCGGCATTCTCATCAGTATGTACTTCTGAAACAAAACCTCTCCAGATGCAACCAACTCTGATCTTGTGGAACCTTACATCAATATGTTTAGTTCTAGCACGATACACCTGATTCTTAGCCAAGTGAATAGCACTTTGATTATCACAAAGCAACTGAACTCCACCTTGTTGAACACCCAACTCCTTCACTAAACCAGTAAGCCATAAAGCTTCTTTTGCAGCTTCAGCCGCTGCCATGTATTCAGCTTCAGTTGTAGATAGTGCCACGACAGATTGAACAGTAGACTTCCAGCAAATAGGCCCTCCACCAGAGTAACACATACCCTGTCGTAGATCTTCTATTATCCAAGTCACCTGCATAATCTGAATCCACATATCCTACAACCAAAGGATTATCCCGCTGACTCCCAAAAAACAATTCCATGTCCCACAGTACCCTTTAAGTACCGAAAGATCCACTTGACTGCATCCAATGTTGCTTACCAGGTTTAGACATGTACTTATAAACTTGACTAACAGCATGAGCTAAATCAGGACGAGTACATACCATCGCATACATCAAGCAGCCAAACAGCATTAGAATACGGAACCTTTGCCATATTTTCAGCTTCCTTATCTGTCTTAGGGCACTGTTCTGATGAGAGCTTAAAGTGATTCGCCAATGGAGTGCTAACTGGTTTCGCGCTGCTCATCGCAAACCTTTCTAGCATTTTCTCAACATAACCCGTTGAGATAGCCGCAGTTTCCTTGAGTCTCTGTCCCTGCAAATTTCCATTCCAAGAATTTTCTTTGCAGCACCTAAATCTTTCATATCAAATTCCCGACTCAATAAAGTTTCAAACCGATAACATCATCATGTTCTTCGCAGCAATCAACATATCATCAACATACAGTAATAGAAAAAAAAAGAACCATCATCAAGGCTCTTAACATAGACAAACAATCATACTCACGGTTGTAGCCAATCTTGATCATAGGAGTCAAACCGTTTATACCACTGTCTCGGAGACTGTTTCAACCCGTACAAAGATTTCTTCAATCTGCAACTAAATGCTCGTTTCCAGGTTGAGTGAAACCTTCAGGTTGCCGCATGTAGATCTGCTCCTCTAAATCACCATGCAAAAAAAGCAGTTTAACATCCATCTGCTCTAAATGCAAATCCAACTAGCCACCAATGCAAGTACTGCTCGGATTGAAGTGTGCCTGACCACAGGAGAAAAGATTTCATCATAACAACTCCTTTCTACTGTGAAAAACCCTTCGCTACCAAACGAGCCTTGAACTTCCCCCTCTTTTTGTTACTGCTGGTTTCTTCTTATACACCCATTTGCAACCAATCGGCTTCTTACCCTCAGGAAGGGGAACTAACTCCCATGTGCGATTGTGATTCAAAGACTCTATCTCCTCAACCATGGCTGCCATCCACTTGTCGTTTTCCTGACTAGTAACGGCATCATGAAAAGTAACTGGATCATCACTGCTAACAGTAAGTGCAAAAGATACCAAGTCTTCAAACCCAATCTGTTCGGAGGCTTTATTCGTCCGTCTCACCTGTCTCTGGCGAGACTATAATCCTGCAAATCATCCGTAGTGGAACCACCAGAAGTCGGTTGAGAAGTTTCTGGTTTCTCAACTGGAAAACTGCTCGAAATCTACCACTGTCGTGTCTTGCTTCTGCTGCAACATAGACTGTTCATCAAAAACGACATCTCTACTAATCACAACTTTCTTCGCAACTGGATCCCAGAACTTGAATCCTTTGACACCTTTCTTGTAACCCAGAAAAATGCACTCCTTCGATTTTGCATCAAGTTTGGATCTCTCATCAGCAGGTACATGCACATAAGCAGGACAACCAAAAATCCGTAAGTTATCAAAACTAACATCATGACCAGTCCATACCTCTTCTGCAACTTCCCAGCCAGCGATGCCCTTGGCGATCTGTTGATAAGGTAACACGCCATGTTAACAGCCTCAGCCCAGAAGTGTTTGGGAAGCCCCGCATTCAACCGCAAACATCTGGCTCTTTCATTCAACGACCTGTTCATTCGTTCCGCAACACCATTCTGTTGTGGTGTCTTGCGCACTGTAAAATGCCTCTGAATCCCATGCTCCTTACAGAATTGTAGGAACTGTGAATCTGTGTACTCCGTACCATTGTCAGACCGCAAACACTTGATTTTTCGTCCTGTTTGGTTTTCTACCTCAGCTTTCCACAGCTTGAACTTCTCAAAAACTTCAGATTTATGTTTCAAAAAATACACCCAAACTTTCCGTGAAAAATCATCAATAAAAGTAACATAGTACCTAGATCCACCCAAAGACGATGTCGTGGAAGGCCCCCATACATCAGAATGCACATAATCAAGAATCCCTTGAGTTGTGTGCTCATCACAGTCAATGCTCCTTTAACAATCCGAATGGTTTCCCTATCCTCGTCAGCCTTAGGGATAAAACCATTCTTGTGCAAAGTGCCCAAGGAAATCAAATTCTTCTTCAAGTCTGGGATATGTCGAACACCACTCAACGTCCGAACGAGCCATCGTGCATCTTAATTCTGACATCACCAATACCAACAATATTGCAACATCGATCATCACCCAAATAAACCGAACCAGAATTAACCGGCCTGTATGTCGAAAACCATTCCCTATTTGGCGTGATGTGATAAGAACATCCAGAATCAAGAATCCAAGCATCCGTCAATTGTGTCGTTGAAATAGAAAGCATATCACCCTCACTGCAATCAAGTATCATCCTCGACCACGTTCACAGACTTGGATGCCATCACGCTTTCATCAGTCTGCTTTTTCAACTTCGGACAGTCTCGCTTCA